GAGTATTGGACTGATGGGTCTTGTTATCGTGTGGGAGATAAATTGTGTGCTGGCTATGCAGTAGTTAAAGCCCAAGGAACTGGATTTGTTGTTGAAAAGGCTGAAGTAATACCACAGCCTGCGTCCGCACAACTTGCTGAACTTGTGGGGCTAACAGAAGCGTGTTTGTTAGCAGAAGGAAAGCGAGTGACGATATATACTGATTCTGCATATGCACATAATGTATGTCATTTGTTTGGAGCAGTGTGGAAAGGTCGAGGGTTTAAGAAAACGGATGGTTCTCCGATACAACATCACGCGCAAATAATGAAACTGTTGCATGCTATGATGAAGCCTAAAGAGATAGCGATAGCTAAGTGTGCAGCTCATAAAACAGATGTGTCAAAAGTCACACAAGGGAACAAAGCTGCTGATGAAGCTGCAAAAGCTGTCACAGGAGCGGACAAATTGGGCAAGGTTTTTCTGGTCACTCATGGAGTGGACTTGGAAGACAAAATTACGCTTAAGGATGTGATTTTGATGCAGGAAGCTGCTTCTACGATTGACAAACAGTTATGGCTAGACAGAGGTGCCGTCAAAGATGTTACGGGTCTTTGGAGAAACCATGAGGGGTTGATAGTAGCGCCTCTAGACCTATTAGGTCTGATGATTCAGGAAGCACATGGTTTAGCTTATGTTGCAAGGGGGGAGGTTAGGAGAAAGATCACAAAGGAGTATGGTTTTTGGGCACCATATTTGCTTGAGCAGGTTGACTATGTCATAGGCAGGTGCACAATCTGTCTGAAAAATAATGTTTGCAGGGGTGTGACTGTTCTTCCTAGTCACATTCCAACACCGAGAGGTCCTATGCGTGAGTTGGTTATCGACTTTGTTGATATGATAAAACCAGTTGAAGGGAAAAGATACATGCTGGTGGTTGTGGATAGATTTTCACGATGGCCGGAGGCCTGTCCAACCAAGCGAAAAGACGCTCAGTCGGTTGCCAAGTTCTTGTGTAAAGAAGTCATAAGCAGGTGGGGACTTCCCGATCAAATATCCTCAGATAATGGGAAAGAGTTTGTGGATAAATCAGTGAAATTGATTTAGCAAAAATTGGGAATTAAGCAACGTCTAGGAGCAGTTTATCACCCACAAAGTCAAGGGATTTGTGAAAAAATGAATGGTGTTTTGAAAAATCGCATTGTCAAGATTTGCCAGCATACGGGTCTAAACTGGATAGCGGCGCTCCTTTTAGCATTAATGGTGTGTCGCTCAAGTGAGTTGCGAGAGCCTTGTTTGCGAACAAGCGGAAAGGGTCCAAGTTTGGCTCTTTTGGAAGATGAAATGAGAGCATATGTTACATATATGGCCAATTTTCATAAAAAGTTATCCACATATGTTTCTGACAGGCAAAGAAAAGAAGAGGTGCAGGAGAAGCTCGATGAGCAAAAAAGGAGTACAGTGCAACCTGGGGACAAGGTGTTCGTGAAGGTATTTAGAAGGAAGTGGTATAACGAACGCCGTGAGGGACCATTTGAAGTTGTTCGTAGTACTGGAACGGCTGTCCAGGTTAAAGGGTCTCCAACGTGGTATAATTTGTCATATTGTGTTAAAGCGCCTAGAGAAGAGGTGCCACGCGCAGAGAGCCAAGATGTTGAAGGCTCAAGAGAGCAGGATGAAGATAGGGAAGAACAGACAGAAGGAGAGATGCATGACAATATCCAGAGTCAAAACCCAGAAGGAGAGATTGTCCATGCTGTGGACAACGTTGATGATCATGTGTACACTTCTGATGATGTCAGACACGACTCTGCAATGGATGGACAGGAAAGGAGATTTGGGGACATTGATTTTCAATACGTCCCAGAAACAACAGGGCATATTTCAGTGGAATGTGAAACCGCAGAGATCACCAAAGGCAACTCTGTTACAGGAGAAGCCGGTGATTCGGTTAGACAAAGTAGCCCCAGTCCAGTTCAGAAAAAAGTCAGACCAAAACATTACGAAAACTAGGGTTGAAGTAACTCTAGGAAAGTCTTTGTTATTGACTTTTGCGAAGGCTATGATATTGAGATGGGTTGGAGTTGTGATGCCTGGAGACAACACTCAGATGCTGTTGTTAACCGTGACTGATCTAGATGGAGATGAACAAGTGGTACTGGATGGAGTATTGATGGATAGATATCCATTTTGAATATCTGATTGTGCGATAATTTTCAAATTTCTTTGCATATTGTTGTGATATTTAGTGTTTTCTTATGAATCAAAGGGGGAAATGGAATGTGATTCATTTTTATATTTCATTTTTATATATCATTTTTATATATTATTTTTGATATTTATGTTTTAATTTTCATGTGTTGCTTTGCAAAAGATACTGGTTGGTGTTTTCTATTCTTCCAGAAGCATATGGGGAATGTGCAGAGTGGGATTCAAATACTCAAACATGGACAATATGAATGGACTGGAGGAAGCTGAACAAGGACGGTGTGGAAATGTTCAGATTTCATCATCGACGTTGCATTGAAAGTCGATACTGCTGAGGAGCTGCAGTGTAGTGGACTACATTCCAGTGTCTGCACTGATATATATACATATTTGCATGTGTAATACATAATTTGTGTCATATTCTTTCTGTATTCATTTTTTGAAGAATTATGTTTTCTGTTGTTGGGTACATGTGGGGACCTCAGATGTTTTTCTTTTTTCTTTGACGCTTAGGGATATTGGGTCTAGGCAGGGACAGAGAGAATCCACGGGAGGGTCCGATGGGTCGACCAGCCTGAATGTGGACATTTATTTTATTTTATTTTGTTTTCTGAGGCTTTCACGTGTATTCGATTGCACCATAGCTTAAAATGCATTGATAAAGATTTATAAATTGATCTGGAGTACTTAGGTGGTCGCCTGGGGCAGAGGGGCCATGAGAGAATTTTCCTATCTTGATTGATTGATGGATATTTGGAAAGAAAGCTGCCAGACAGGTTTTTCGCTCTTACACTCCATAGAAATGTGTTCACACTCCATAAACTTTGTTTTATTGCTAAAGTTACACAAGAAGCTTGATGTAATAAAAAATTTTATTTGTCATAATCCTATTCTTTTTGTTTTCGAGACTTAATTAGTCTCGAAGGGGGGAAATATGTGGTATCTGAACTTCTATAACTTTGGCTGAGGTTTTCATATTGTGGGTTAGATTAAATGTACTCTACTTTGCTGAAACATCTGGAAAGTGTTACTATAGGGGCCCCCTAAAACAGAGGAGATTCTGCTATGTGGAGGCCAGGGATTGGTCTATTCAAATCACGCCACCTTATGTTACATAAAGCATAGGATATATATACCATGTTTTAACAAAAAAATGGGAGAGTGATCATATTTGGGATTGGTTTCATTGCTCTCCAGATTCTGCAGAGTCTGTAAATTGATGCTGAAATCTTTGATATAATAAACTTTTATAAATAAGTACAGTGTCAGCGGATTCCTTATCAACATATCATTGCAGCATCGTTGTTCGGACACCACAGACGCATGTGATGAAACACTTCCCTTTGACTTACATTCAATCACCCTAGTAGTCATGTTTAATAGGATAGCTAAGACAGATACTGTGTGTACAGCATATCAGATATTATACTGGGACAGATACAGGGACGGACTGGGACCAGAAACCAGGTCCATGTTTGCCCCTGGAGGCCCCCATACCTTCCCTAGACTGATAGGCAGACACTGTGTGTACAGCATATCATAAATAAGGGCCCAATGCAAACAAAGTATCTCCCTCTGAAGCTACAGTAAAGAGGAAAAGAGAGAGGATGTGGTTAGTGAGGAGATTTGGAAGGGTGACAACAGACAGACATGTGTTCCGGGTGATTGGCGAAGGTTTCACAGTATTACTGACTAAGGCTGAGTGGCTAGTTTCACAAACCAAAAGCATGTGAATGCTAGCCTGGTCAAATAGCTGTTTGTACTACTCTTGCCAACTCCATAGCTCATTGTCAAGACAAAGATGCTAAGCATGACGATGAGTGACAAGGAGTTGGCATGATAGCCCAAACAGACTGGCACTCAGGCTATGTGAATGCATTATGGAGTATTGCTTTTGCCTTGGAAAATTGAATAATTTGTTGAGTTATAATTTTGATCAAAAGTCCAAATATGATGTTGGTCATTATAAAGTATATGTATTGCTTTTACAGGGAATTCTGTGAACTGTCTAGGAAAGATGGGAAACAATAAACCCAAAGTGATAAATAAATCAAATATTCAACATTTCAATAAATACTGAATATGGAAGGACATACTCATTAATGGCAAGGTGGACTGCCTTCGAGCTCCTGTAAAAAAAGACACAAAACCTACTATTACAATTTATCTTAAAACAAATTACATTAAAAAGATCATAATTAAAGTTAGTACTTAATACATTAATAGATAATAGTATTATTATAATATTATACACCGAGTATACAAAACATTTAGGACACCTGCTCTTTCCATGACATAGACTGACCAGGTGAATCCAGGTGAAAGCTATGATCCCTTATTGATGTCACCTGTTTAAATTGACTTCAATCAGTGTAGATGAAGGGGAGGAGACAGGTTAAAGAAAGATTTAAGCCTTGATACAATTGAGACATGGATTCTGTATGTGCCACTCAGAGAGTGAATGGGCAAGACAAAATATTTAAGTGCCTTTGAATGGGGTATGGTAGTAGGTACCAGGCACAACTGTAGAACTGCAAAGCTACTGGGTTTATCACGCTCAACAGTTTCCCGTGTGTATCAAGAATGGTCCACCACCCAAAGGACAACCAGCCAACTTGACACAACTGTGGGAAGCATTGGAGTCAACATGGGCCAGCATCCCTGTGGAACACTTTAGACACCTTATAGAGTCCATGCCCTGACAAATTGAAGCTGTTCTGAGGGCAAAAGGAGTTTGCAACTCAATAATAGGAAGGTGTTCCTAATGTTAGGTGTACTCAGTGTATATTATAATAGTGTTATGGATTGTATTAAGTACTGACTATACTGTTATTCATGGTTAATAGTATGCCACAACATGCCACTGATTTGACTACTCTAAACGATTGGCTGAGTTACCAGACAACATTACAGGTTGTGTAATCCCCCATGCAAAGCCAAAATGGATGGCTGGCAGAGCATGCAGGCTTGGCAGAGGAAGGGCCTCTGTACAGATTAATCTAGCACCAGCTAGCATGACAAACAGATACATGATCAGATACATGATCAAAGCTCCATGTAATGATATTTGTTTATGGACTTATACAGACACAACAGTCTCTACTGTATGAGTATGACAATTCATGTACTTACGTTGGGCGGAGCGCTTCTTAAAAAACAGCAGCGCAGCAAGGAGTCCAAAGATCAGAGATCCTATGACTACAACCGGGGAAAGCCAATTGGTGTTGGAAACAGAGTTGTCAGCTTTACTACCTGGACAGAAAAAATTGACAAAAATTGGGAGTTACAAAATAAATAGGCAATTCATATGAAGTCAAGAGAAAAAGGTTAGCTATAAAACGGGTCAAAGTCAGAATCAGGGCATTTCAGACACACAGACTTGAGCTCTGTTCTAATCTAAATGCATCTTAATAACCTTTTACTGCAGTGGGCTAAATCAGAGTCACTCAGAGAGATTATTGGTAGTCTTAAACAAATCTAGAAGACTGGAATATAACAAAACCGTTTGACATAGAAACACAGGATTTTCGTTGTTTTTTAAAATAATAATTTATTTATTAATTGTGAAATTCTGAAAAATATTAATAACATTCCACCCATGAGGCCAAAGAGGGCGCTTTTGGTCACTGACTGCAGGAAAGAGCTACTTTACTTCCCATTGCTAAGAACAATTAGTTTTGGCATTAGATGGATCCTTTTTCTTAAAAAGTTCCCAGCCAGGCTAAAGAACACCAGCTGGAGGACTGCAGATCAGAAAAAAATAATTTAAATGGCTGCCAGAGATTAGAAACAACTGCAGAGACAGAATTTTCTGGTAAGAAGGTATTATGACTGCACTTATGAATCATGATAAGAGGGGGCATTAGAGACAGATTGGAGACTATCAGCTCTAATTTGCAACTAGCGCAGGTTGTTACAACTCCACTATCATTATTTCCCCCTCTATGGACCTATTGGATCAGATTAACCAAGTAATTTCCTATAGGCTCATCAGATGGCTTTATTTTGGAAGATGTTAACCACTTAGCTAGATAGCTAACTAGCTACTAAATTAGCAAACCAAAGCATTTGCCACATTTTAGACAGTAAACTTAATAGTTATAAGATATCTTGCTGGCAAACATTTAGTTGTAAATTCCATACTGTAACTAGATCACCTGACTTGTGCTGAACAACAGTGAGTGACTCACAAGGCTCTGGTCTCTCGTCGTAGTGTGCTTGTGAACAAACACCACGTGGCTGGGGACTACCGGTAAGCTTCATAATGAAACATTATGTAACAGGTGAAATAAAGAACACGATCTTCTTTATCTCCTAAAGTATAAGTTGACTTGAGAGATTTACTTAAAAAGTAGTAACAAATATTCACATTTATTTTTAAAACTTCAAAGAAATAGTATTAAGGGTATTGAAAAATCATCCTGTGGCTATTTCCAAATAACCCATTATACGGTATATACGGTATACCGCCCAAGCCTAATTGGGACACTGTGTGTCCTACTGACCTAGGTGCGGCAGGGGTTAAATGCGGAAGACACATTTTGGTTGAATGCATTCAGTTGTACAACTGAATAGGTATCCCCTTTCCCTGTGGTACTGCTTGGCCAATTGATCTAATTTCCTGTTGGTAACGCTAGGCTAGCTATCTCTCTCCAGGTGGTTGAATTCTATTGTGTATGATGTTATTATTTTCTGTGATGTTATTGAGTTCTGCTGGAAGGTCAACGTGAAGCTTATGAATGTCTGCTGCTATTCCCATTAACCCTGAGGAGCTAAGGGACAGACACTGTTCATCCAATTTGTAAGTCGCTCTGGATAAGAGCGTCTGCTAAATGACTTAAATGTAAATAATATGCCATTTAGCAGACGCTTTTATCCAAAGCGACTTACAGTCATGCGTGCATACATTTTTTGTGTATGGGTGGTCCCGGGGATCGAACCCACTACCTTGGCGTTACAAGTGCCGTGCTCTACCAGCTGAGCTACAGAGGACCAAATGTTAAATGTAAATGACAAGTAGACTGGGTTAAGAAAAAATTTAAGATTCTAGATTCCTGTTGAAACAAGCATGAATAGAGCTTGCCAGCTTGTAGTCCTAAAACCCGGAAATGAGTTATCCTTGGTTCGTTCAGCCATTCCTATGGCAAAAATTAAAGGGGAAAGAATACGGTTTTGAGATAAACGCCGAGAATAAGGTCTGAGGTTAACACAGGTTTAGGAGGTCTTATACGTTTTGTTCTATGAGATAATATCAGTCGGTTAACATGACCTGTACTATCATTCCAGTGTTAATACTAATTGTAATTATTTTTCACTATAGCCTATTTATTGCCTTACCTCCATAACTTGCTACATTTGCACACACTGTATATATATTTTCTGTTGTATTTTTGACTTTATGTTTTGTTTTACCCCATATGTAACTCTGTGTGTTTTTATCGCACTGCTTTGCTTTATCTTGGCCAGATCACAGTTGTAAATGAGAACTTGTTCTCAACTGGCTTACCTGGTTAAATAAAGGTGAAATAAATAAATAAAATAAAAATGAATTATGAAGCCTTTATGTGCATTATTAAATTACATAAATGCTTCAAAATTCACAAAAGGTTACATTACCTGATGAAGATTATCTCATAGAACAAAACGTATAAGATCTCCTAAGCCTATGTTTACCACAGACCTTATTTTTGGCATTTATCCAAAAACTCCACTAATTTACTCCATAGCCTTTGTCCAACGAACCATGGTGGAGTTATTGCCTACAAAAAGACACCACTACTATTGCGCTCTATTGTTTCTTATCCAAAACAAGACAAGCATTTTCCTGTTGTTCGAGTTTCAAGGAAGATGTTTAGTCAGATTCGGGAGCATGTTATGGCCTGATCTAGGGCAGTGTTATAATTCTTTGTATCTACTCCACTCTTCAGTGACATGTTGTTCTCTCATTATAAAGCTGACTTTTATTGCGTTCAGAAATGTGATAAAGACGGCGTAAATAACATCTATGCTATTAAAAGTAGACTAGATTGAGGCTGGTGATGTTTTGAGGTTGAGGTTTTACAATTATCAGGGTCAGGATGAGGGAATAAGATAAACTGGCAGGTTTTAGACTTCGCCCTGCTTTCACAAAGGATGACATCACCAACATATTCATACCATTAGGTAGCAGCCATGGCAGAACGTACCTAAGTCTCGGGGCACAAACTGGATCTCAAATGATGCCTTCCCCTCCAGGGCTCCATTGATATTGAGCACTTTGCACGTGTAGTTCGTGTAACTGGATGTTGCCTTCAGCACTGTGAATTTACTGGCGAGGCTAAACAGACCATCGTCGGTCTCTTTGGCAACCAGTTCAGCACTCTCTGTGCAGTTTGTGCCAAACTCGTCAAACCACAAGATCAACCCTTTCTGGTGCCCGCCTGTAGAGTTGCAGTAAATGGTCACATTCGTGTTCTCTTGGATGTTGGTGTCAGGGAAGGAGCTCATGGTTGGAGTTTTGTACTTAGCTGGAAGAGAGAGAGAGGAAGGGGAAATTATATTATACATGTGGGTGCTATTTGGTACATCAGTAGTTATACAACGTCAGTGGGTAAACATTATCTAGACGGACTTTGCACCTTTTCAACGTCAATCCAACGATTATAACTTGGAATGAGATTACAGTAGGAGTGATTTTAATAAACTGGAATGACCTTTCTTTTATCACTCAGATGTTCTAATTGAGTCTGTGTACATTATTTGTAAACACTGATTGCATGCCATAGGCAGAATGGCATTATGGAGGCTATTTGTGGACGTTGTACTACTGTGTACCATTTGAGCCCTGTCATTCTGAAACAGAGAGTAAACAACGCTCCTGCTGTGCTGTCCAATCACACACTTACAAATAGATCTGAACTCCCCCTGAGAATATTCCAGAATAAACATCCTTATCAACTTTGTATCATAACTGTATGGAAGTGCTTTCTCAGAAATGAAAATTCTGTTCTACTGTATTTCACAATTCTATCCTCGATGCAAGACTTAGTGGTTGTATGGTTGTGTGCACGTGTGTGTGTGTGTGTGTGTGTGTGTGTGTGTGTGTGTGTATGTGTGTGTGTGTGTGTGTGTGTGACAACAATCAAAGTTGAATAGAACTTAATTCTAAAGGATTTCAGCGTATGGGCATCATAACCTATGAGCCGAGACACGTTAATAAAATAGGTTGTCTATTTGTCTATTGCACTCCAAGCTTGGCTGAATATCTCACATGTTTAGTTTGCTCCTTTCAAGAACCGGTGTTGAAAAATTTGTATATTATCCTAAAATGACACTGTAGACAGTCTATGACTCACCTGTGACACTGAGGTTGGGTGTAGCTTTGGCAGTCCCAACATCTGTTTCCACCTCGCATTCATACTCCCCATTGTCGGCCATCTTGGTATTTGTCAACAACAAGGACACATTCATATTCGTCTTGTTCCAGGATGGCTCAGCAAAATTTAAACCCAGGGATTGCGTCCATTTTATCTTTATGGTATTCCAACAAATTAGCAGCAGCTTTAGCAGCAGCTCCCACTCTCTTCCAGGTCACCATTATGATGGTCACATTCTCAACCACTGGTTTGACAATGCACTCTACAATTGACTGCTGACCATAAACCCCATGGTATTCTGTTTTACACTCCAGTTTGACAAATGCTGTTAGTAAAATATCAGAGAAAAAATTTGACATTAATACAAGAGAGAATTACTGTTATTGTAGTCAGTTTTATCATGTGACCAATCTTATTGAACATTTGGTTTAAAAAATAATACACAGTTCTCCCAAACCACAGAGAAAGGTAACAATCATCTGAAAACTATTTTTGTATATAACGTTTTATAACCAATATTATGGCATTCATGGCACAACTTACTCTCAGAGGAATTTCCAGCTCTGATACAGGCAAAATGGATCACTAAAAACAGCAAGCTGGTAGCTGAAGTCATCTTTGGATTCCTGAGTAGGAAGAAAGAAATGTACAATGACAACACTTATCACATCAGTATGAGGACAGTCTATAGACTGTGTAAAGTAGGTTAATAGACTGCCTGTCACTCACAATGGCTCTAGACTATCATCTGAAAATAAACATAAAACAGTTGCTAACAGAAACCAGACAGAAATTAATTATAATCCAGTGCTGAATATGTCTTAACCAGTGCTTGACTGTCCGGAACGCCATACTGGCAATTCTAATTTTGGGGGATTTGCGTACAAGCTCCTCTGTAAAAACAAAGTAGCCTATCGCTGGCCCAGATTCACACACCGAAGAAAAAAAGGTTAATCAAACCAGATTTGTTTTTGGGTGTATTTTATTAGGATCCCCATTAGCTGTTGCAAAAGCAGCAGCTACTCTTCCTGGGGTCCACACAAAACATGAAACATTACATAATACAGAACATGAATAGACAAGAACTACATAAAACATTTTTTAAAGGCACACGTAGCCTACATATCAATACATACACACAAACTATCTAGGTCAAATAGGGGAGCGGCGTTGTGCAGTGAGGTGTTGCTTCATCTGTTTTTTGAAACCAGGTTTGCTGTTTATTTGAGCAATATGAGATGGAACGGAGTTCCAAGCAATAATGGCTCTATATAATACTGTACGCTTTCTTGAATTTGTTCTGGATTTGGGGACTGTGAAAAGACCCCTGGTGGCATGTCTGGTGGGGTAAGTGTGTGTGTGTCAGAGCTGTGTGTAAATTGACTATGCAAACAATTTGGGATTTTCAACACATGAATGTTTCTTATAAAAAGAAGAAGTGATGCAGTCAGTCTCTCCTCAACTCTTAGCCAAGAGAGACTGGCATGAATAGTATTTATTAGGGGTGTAACGATCCATCTACTACATCGATGTATCGATTTATTTTCCTATGATCCAACTACATCGATCTGTGCTCGGCGAGTTGGCCTTTTGGACAACATATATCAATCTAACATCGTTTTAAAATGTAATAAATCGATTGTATCGATACTAGGAAATAACCCATTGGATTTAAGCACGTCAGACTTTATATGGATGTTTTTTCTTAGCACTTTTAATGATAAAGGCTTTAAACATTACTCGATTCAGTCTACCTATCCGTGACGTCATCGCCCCGCGCCAGCAGCAGCGCAAAGGCGCAAAGACAACAAAACATAGCATGGCGGACGACAGAGGAGAAGCCGACGAGCGAGAAATTATCAAGCCACCTTACAGGTCCTTACAAGAAACAGGAATCTAGGAAACTTCACCTGCACTGTCCAGTATCCAGGTATTTATTTCAGTCACACTGGTTGAATTTTTGGCTAAAAGGTTACTGAATCGATTTCAAGTCACTGAATCGTTTCGGATCGTATCGTTCTAAATGAACCAATATCGTCCTTGAATCGTATCGACAACCACGAATCGTGATACAAATCGAATCGTTGTTAAAACGAATCGTTACACCCCAAGTATTTATATCAGCCCTCTGATTACAATGAAGAGCAAGAAGTGCCGCTCTGTTTTGGGCCAGTGCAGCTTAACTAGGTCTTTCCTTGTAGCACTGGACCACACGACTGGACAATAATCAAGATTAGACAAAACTAGAGCCTGCAGAACTTGCTTTTTGGAGTGTTGTGTCAAAAGATCAGAGCATCTCTTTATTACAGACAGACCTCTCCCCATCTTTATAACCATTGAATCTATATGTTTTGACCAATCTAAGGTAACGCCAAGTAATTTAGTCTCCTCAACTTGTTCAACAGCCACACCAATCATTACCAGATTCAGCTGAGGCCTACAACATTGGGAATGATTTGTACCAAATACAATGCTCTTAGTTTTAGAGATGTTTGGACAACCCCAAAGCCCAAAAACCTTTCCTCAGCTTCACCCGGGGTTTGGGAAAAACCAAAAAAAAAACC